CTGTCCTTCAAAAGTTCACAATCCAGAGGTCGAAGGCACAGCTGGCCCGTAATACTGACAGAAGCCGAGGTCGGGAGCGATAAACTCCACTTAGGCGCCTTATTCTTCTCTTCCCATCTGAAACCCATCAAAAATAGCTAGATAGGAGCATCATACTTCTGGAGGAACTCTTGGAGTGGATGAGGCAGCTGGTCCCGTTTGGTGGACACGTCTATATGACCGTTTAAAGTCTTTCGACATAAGTGCTGCAGACTGGACAGGCTAGACGCCAGCGGACGCAGTAGCTCCAAAGGGATCTTCTCGCCACCAGAGTAGATGTAGTAGGCACTTCCGTCGGCCGCGCTTCCACCTTCTCCGACGGCCTGGACCTTCGACGAGGTCCCCGTCCCGGCCGACGGCATGTAATGATGGATGAGCTTGAGGACGCAATCGAAACGCGGCACGGCCTGCTCACTCCGAGGGTCAGTCTGCAGGAAGAAGGAGACGGAGTCGCACTGGATGCGCAGGTTTTTGGTGCCCGTGCTCGTTTTGACGCTGAGCGTGAAGAAGTGGTGGTGGTCTGAGCTGTCGCGCACCAAGAAGGTGCCCGGGGGTTCGGCGCTCAGCAGTGCGCTGGCCTCTTTCCCGCTCACGGTGCTCCAGTAGAAGCCACTCTCTTGCAGTTTGCGCACAGCCGCGATCACCATCTGATACTGCGCCCGAGAACTGAAGGTCTTGTACCGGTGGGGGGGCAGGCGCACGCCGCCTTCAAAGGGGCTGCTGCTCATGGCGCTGTCAAACCTACTGTGCGTTACCATGGCTCTCTGCCCGCCCCCTGTACCGCCCGGCAACCACTGGTGCTCGGGGTCCAGGGCCGAAGGGCCGTCCCAGCCAGGGTGCTCATGCACCGGAGAGCACCAACACAACGCCCAGAGCTCTGGCACCTCTTCCACATCCAGAAGAAATGACGTCTCGGTGGGTATGGAAGGCAGCTGAAGGAAAAGCCAAATGGAAAATGTAAGCATCAACCAAACAGTGAGAACAACAGAAGCCAGTGCCAGCAGACTTACATCTGCTATGACATCACTTTTATTAGGGCCCTTCATAGTTCTAATAACTGGATTGGTTGTTTCTCACATTTGTTCCTTATCATTAAAGCCCAACCCTCCCTCTCCAAAGAAACATCACATTTACGCATTTCAGTGATGTAATCGTCCCATTTGGAGATAAACTAATTTTTACTTCTTTAATTAGTGTCTGTTTTTTTACTAGTACTTATTTTTCAAGTAATTCAGTAGTAGTGACTACTGACTAGTATTGTGTCAATTTATCTAATCGTTGTGCTTTAGAACCTAATGCATCAATTTAACCATTAGATGCTAGTACTTATTTCAATAGTGACTAATATATATTCAATCACTACATCCTACTTTTCTACGAGTCACTATCTCAGTACATCTGGTGTATGCCAATGCTGATGGTACCTTTTCCAGTTTTACTAGTACTATTGCTACTAGTCAACCTCCCAAAAATCCTGATAACAAATTGCTATTTTTTGTTAATGATTTACATGGGAATATGTGTTTTAGATCAACTACTTGCCATTCACTGGTACGTATGCCAATGTTGCTGGTACCTATTCCAGTTTTACTAATACTATTGCAACTAGTAATACTACTGGTAACAAATGATTCAAGTTAGTGAATTCTATAGGGATCTGTGATTTAAATATCAACTAGTATGTTGCTGTTCCATATTCTAGTTTTTCTAGTACTAATGGTACTAGTTAAGCAAGCAATCCAATAACTTTTAGTTTTACAAGGCACTATTAGATGAGAAATGAATACTTGTATAAGTAAGATAGATGCGAGATCATTTTGAAGCGCAAATATTAAAACTGCTTGCAGTGGATAAATTAACTAGTTGCTAATCGAACCTTTATTTTTAGTCCAAGCTCGACCGTGTAAACCCGATATTGACTTCGATCGCTCTCTTGGGTTATTAGAAAACAGGTTATGAATGAGGTCCTCCAGTTCGTTGTGAATAACCCAATTTCTCATTGATGACACACGGTCTCTGTCTCGCATTACACTGTAAATACCCCTTCACTCTCCTATCCTAACTGGAATAGAAATTCACCGATTTAACGTATTCGGGTTACATTGAGGTCGTTTAATCCGACTCGCTCGCATGTATAACTAAAGCAGACTTCAAACTATTAAACTGTGCATTAGCTCGCATGACAAAGCTCAACAACATAGTTTAATAGACATGGATACCATGTAGCACAGTACAAACCGAGGCATGCATAACAGTCCGATATAATAATATATGCATACATTTCTAATAGATTCTAAAGAACTCCAGTGCGTTAGAATAAAGCGCAAAACGTCGTTTTACCTTCAAAGCGTTATCCGACTCAATCTTGGGAGTTTTCTTAAAACATAGCTGCTTTTGTGATTTCCATATAAGCGCTTATACAAAATAGACTTTTAAAAAGATCAAGATCGGTTTCATGTCAGTTTTTTAACAGTTGATCAGAGATCAGCTGTGTGAAAGTCCATCAGAGGTAGTGGAGGTTCGTGCCATCGAGTTGAAGTACCGACTGATATTTCTAAAGGCTCCACCCCTTGTGTTCCAGTAAAGCAACCGCACACACACACACACGCACGCACGTGGCGGATTGCCAATAAATAATCAGCGTGACCCTTTTTTACGGGATTTCTCCCCCCTCCCGTCCCTGTTCACACAAGGTGAAACGTTGCATTGCCCTTGCGAATATAAATGCGGTCGGTGTGTTATGACTGATGATATCTGACCACACACATGTTGCATATTATTCTGTTTTAATCGTCTATTTTATTTATTCATTTATTGGTTTTGCAGAGTCCCGTATTATAGTGTCGTTTACGGTCAGATGCGTGATGGGACGTTTTGCCAAGAATAAAATTAAACGAATGTAATATTATTGGGACTAATCAGTGTTGGGGGTAACGCATTACAAGTAACGCGAGTTACGTAATCAGATTACTTTTTTCAAGTAACTAGTAAAGTAACGCATTACTTTTTAATTTACAAGAGAATATCTGAGTTGCTTTTTCAAATAAGTAATGCAAGTTACTTTTTTTTCCAATTTATTGATTGAGAGCTCGCCTGTCCTCATGTTGAGAGAAATCAGAAGATGTTACTGTAGTTCTAAAAAATAATGCAACTCAGAATATGATGCAAACCTGCAATAATTAAATGTTAAACAACACAAATATCCTTTATGTATTTAATCCCATTCTATTAACCAATGTCTTTGCTTCTGACCTTCGATGATCCAGTTCATACTAATAAGCAAAAATAACTCTAGACAAACATTTGTGTGTCTTTTTTTATTGCTGAAGTGTGTTGAAATTTCTTCTTCTGCATTCTGCTGTACGGAGGTAAATTTCCCTTCAGTCTGAGGCTTATTCATTTCACTTTTGGTGTGAAAAGGCTTTTATATTTGCCAAAAATATAATTTTTTATTTTAAAAACAAACAAGCAAGCCCTGTCCAGATTTTAAAAGTAACGCGAAAGTAACGTAACGCATTACTTTCCATAAAAAAGTAACTAAGTAACTAAATTAGTTACTTTTTTATGGAGTAACGCAATATTGTAATGCATTACATTTAAAAGTAACTTTCCCCAACACTGGGACTAATGTTACATAGGGCTATTCGAAATAGAATGCAAGTCTATACGCTAAAGTTACGCTACAGTTTTCTATGTAAAAGTATAGTATAGTATAGTATAGTATAGTATAGTATAGTATAGTATAGTATAGTATAGTATAGTCGTATTCACAAGGCTGACTCTGGGTTACTGGCTGGATTTGTTCCATACGCCATCTATAGGATAACAGCAGTAGACCACCTTCCAAAAGACCACTAGACATTGGGGATATTCTTGCATTAATAAATTCACCGATCAGAAGCTTTGAATATGTATGGAGCAGAGTTTATTGTATATATCGTCTAATGATGTAAAATATAATATTAAAATCACACTGTCATTGTGCAGAGTACATATACAGGGCAAATTAAATACAGTTAACATCTAACCATAAATGCTTATTATTTGTTTAAATATTATTTAATAAATTATTGTACTATGATTTAAATTATATAAGGGTGCGAGTGAGAATTTAACTGGAGGTTTGGACAAAATAGCCCAAATACTTAAAATGTATGCTAAACTTACTCGTTATATAGCCTATTTCATAATATTTTATTATATCTACTTATGCATTTATTTCCTCTGACAGTGTAGCTGTCAGATAATTGCGTTCACTGTCGCGGAGATTGAAATGTGACTACCTGCAGCTAATATAATACTGAAATAAAATAATAATGTTATAATGAAAATTTTAGGAAACACTGAATGTAAAAAAAAAAGCATTCCTAAAAACAATTAGAATGTATTCTAGAGGAAATGAAACATATTGTGCATTATTTTATATTTGATTTGATTAAAAAAATCAGTTCCAGGGATAAAAATTAATTTCTGACACTCGTCTGTATGTACAGATTATGGCTATAGTTAAATTCGAAGGTGAAGGTGCAGTATACAAGAGACTGTGGCATTTTTATCACTGATAAAAACGTATAGAAATATGAGAGACCAGCAAACGCACACTTATACCTTGTCAACGCTGCAGACCCTCTTGTTATAACCAGCCAACTTGTTTACACTAGTACAAGCGTCTGTGTCGCGCCGCAGGCAAGGAATGTGTTTAGATAAAGTTTTGACATTCAAAATGCAGTGAAAACATGGCGGCGCCCAGGACATGGAAAAGACTTGTGTTCTCTGGGTATACTCCTGCTTTCTCCTGGGTTTTTTCGAGGATAACAGATCGCTTTTTCAGGACACATGAACGGAGGAGAGGGTAAATGACAGCGGTCGTCTGCATTACATAAAGACAGTCGATAGAAACCGCAAGCGTCTGTGTCGCGCCGCAGGCAAGGAATGTGTTTAGATAAAGTTTTGACATTCAAAATGCAGTGAAAACATGGCGGCGCCCAGGACATGGAAAAGACTTGTGTTCTCTGGGTATACTCCTGCTTTCTCCTGGGTTTTTTCGAGGATAACAGATCGCTTTTTCAGGACACATGAGCGGAGGAGAGGGTAAATGACAGCGGTCGTCTGCATTACATAAAGACAGTCGATAGAAACCGCGTAATATTAAAGTCAAGCGTGTTTGGCTAATGTTAGCTTGTGGTTGTGTAAAGAGATCTTAAATTCATTTGTGGAGTTAGAATTGTTAAAGTGAGCTTGAGAATATGAGCTGTAAACATTAGACCAATAAAGATGGTTGCTGCTTTTGCTCTACTAATGTCCATTAGCTTATTTCCAGCAAACACCATCATGTCTTCTTTCTTAAAGATATAGTTCACCCAAAAAATGTTTTGAAAGTAAATGTTGACTTCTTAGCGTATTCTTTTGTGTTCCACAGGAAAATTTAAGTCCTGCAGGTTTGAAACTGGATAAGGGTGATTAAATATAATATTGATTTTGAAATAACCTTCGTTTTGGGGTTATCTAACCCATTAATGAGCTGATTAACTGCACACTGGTTATTTGGATAGTAAATCAACCAAACCGAGACTGCAGGCAGATGATCAGATATGGTTTGTCAACACCTCCCTTTATTAAAATAATGCTATCTGATTCAGGCATGTATGATCTGACAGCTCAGCTGTACACCAAATTCTTGGACATTTGTTCATGTTAACCACCAGATAACCACCATTAAATTTGTTCTTACGGAAAAATGTGGCCCAAGTTGGCCTTTAGATGATCAGATGTTCTTTTTAAACTGTTGCTATCAAATGTGCTTTGCAATGAAAGAGGTTAATTCAAGAAGACTTTATAGCACTGGTTTTACGAAGCAGCCATTCACTGCTTGCATTCTTCTAAAAGGTGGCTTTAATCAAATCAGTTTTCAGTCTAATATAAGTGGTTAATTTTCTTAACTTGTTTGGGCAGATGTGACATCTATAAAGGGCTTTGAAACATGGGTCTTGTTTTGATACATCTGAGAGACGCAGATAGATAACTTGTATAGATTCGTAAACTCACCCACGACTGACCTTCGCATTGTTTTACGCTCAGTCTCCAAAGGGTCATGGCACTCTCAGAGTCGCCTCTTTTCATTTTGTTTTCTCAGGAGTTATGTGAGATCTACTGTAGTGTGCGGTGAGACTGGGTTCTGTGAAGAAAAGCACCAACCCAGAGGTTGTAGAGAACTCGACGTGACCTTGGTGTTTGGCAGTAGATCTGAGTGAATGGTTGCAGTTTGAGACTTCATGCTGTGTCATACAGACCATATTACTGCCTTTGTCTTCTGAACACTGTTGCATTTGGAGCTGGACTCAGGGCCCTGTTCTGAGTAGTTGGAAATCAAGTTTTGAGAAAAAGAGAGTTGTTAAATCTTTTTTTTTTTTTTTTTTTCTCAGAATGTCATTAACTGTACTGGTTTATATTGCACAGTCAAATCAACTCTCTAACATTCGTTTTTGGTGTAATTGCATGTGCTAATGAAATGCTGAAAAGTATTCATTTGTTAGTTATTATTACCGTTTCATTAACTGTTCTGAAAACCAGGAAGCAACAATAAAGATTTTGTTCTCAGATTTCAGATCAGATTTTCACAAAAATAATTAGCATTATAAAATATGTTAAAAAAATGTAAGAGTTAAAGGTGTTTTTTTTTGGTCCAAATAACAAAGCAAACGAGCACTAAGATGAAGTATTAGGTTTTTAATTAGCAAAAATAGCTGAAAATACTCTGCTGTTCAGCCGTTTGGGGTCAGTATTTTTTTTTAAACATTCTGCAAAGTGACAAAGTTATAATGTTACAAAAAACCTGTCAATTTCAAATCAAATGCGGTTCTTCTGATTGTTCTGCTTATCAAAAAATTCTGAAAAATCCTTACATTACTTAAATCTTACATTTTTAATAGTAAGAAAGATTTCTTGAATGCCAAATCAGCATACTGGAATGATTTCTGAAGGATCATGTGACACTGAAGACTGGAGTAATGATGCTGAAAATTCAGCTTTGTCATAGCTGGAATAAATTGCTTTTTAAAAATAGATTTAAATAGAAAACAGTTTTCTCAGGAGTTATGTGAGATCTACTGTAGTGTGCGGTGAGACTGGGTTCTGTGAAGAAAAGCACCAACCCAGAGGTTGTAGAGAACTCGACGTGACCTTGGTGTTTGGCAGTAGATCTGAGTGAATGGTTGCAGTTTGAGACTTCATGCTGTGTCATACAGACCATATTACTGCCTTTGTCTTCTGAACACTGTTGCATTTGGAGCTGGACTCAGGGCCCTGTTCTGAGTAGTTGGAAATCAAGTTTTGAGAAAAAGAGAGTTGTTAAATCTTTTTTTTTTCTCAGAATGTCATTAACTGTACTGGTTTATATTGCACAGTCAAATCAACTCTCTAACATTCGTTTTTGGTGTAATTGCATGTGCTAATGAAATGCTGAAAAGTATTAATTTGTTAGTTATTATTACCGTTTCATTAACTGTTCTGAAAACCAGGAAGCAACAATAAAGATTTTGTTCTCAGATTTCAGATCAGATTTTCACAAAAATAATTAGCATTATAAAATATGTTAAAAAAATGTAAGAGTTAAAGGTGTTTTTTTTTGGTCCAAATAACAAAGCAAACGAGCACTAAGATGAAGTATTAGGTTTTTAATTAGCAAAAATAGCTGAAAATACTCTGCTGTTCAGCCGTTTGGGGTCAGTATTTTTTTTTAAACATTCTGCAAAGTGACAAAGTTATAATGTTACAAAAAACCTGTCAATTTCAAATCAAATGCGGTTCTTCTGATTGTTCTGCTTATCAAAAAATTCTGAAAAATCCTTACATTACTTAAATCTTACATTTTTAATAGTAAGAAAGATTTCTTGAATGCCAAATCAGCATACTGGAATGATTTCTGAAGGATCATGTGACACTGAAGACTGGAGTAATGATGCTGAAAATTCAGCTTTGTCATAGCTGGAATAAATTGCTTTTTAAAAATAGATTTAAATAGAAAACAGTCATTTTTATTTGTAATAATATTTCACAATATTACTGTTTTTACGGTATTTTTGATTAAATAAATGCAGCCTTGTACAAAAAAGACATTAAAAAAATCTAACCAACCCTAAACCTTTTGACAATAGTGTATATTATGTTTATTATGTTATGTTGTTTGAGAGCCAACAGGAAACAAATACCAAGCATAAGTTCAGTATTACTCTTCAGCCACCAGATTTTATAATATTTACTAATACCGTAAACGGAAACACTACAATGCATTGTGTACAGTGGAAGAGGATTGCCAGTCTTGGATTCTGATGAAAGGTTTTCTCCGCCCATTAATGCTCTTTTACTTCCTGTCATCCTGTAGGTCCGCTGTGCTGCTCTTGGCCCCTCTCCTGGCAGAGGCAGACTCAGCCCCCCTGGCCTCCTCCAGACCTCCAGGCTTCACTGGTGTCGAGGACTTCCACTCTCGGTTCCACTGGATGGCTGATCATGTACCTGCTTTCAGGGTCCCTGGGGGCCGCGTACGCATCCTTCACTCACCTGATGAGTTTTATCAGGCTATGAAGGTATGCGAGTGTGTGTGTGTGTGCATTTACTGGGTGAAAGCCAAGTAATTGCACCTTCAGAGAACTGAATTGCCAGTAAATATGACTATAAGGTTGTAAAAAAGCAATCTCTGATATCTTAGAGATATCTTAGAAATATTATTCAATTCAAGTTTTCAAGTTTATTTGTGTAGCGCTTTTCACGATACAAATCGTTGCAAAGCAGTTTTACAGCAAATTAAGTTTCTACAATATTTAGTGGTAGCTTATCAGTGGTGACTGTCAGTTAATGTACATATGGCAGAAATGTACGGAAAAATCAATTAAAGACATAATCAATTATCTCACTCCAATTAGTGCCTTTCTATTTATAGTCATATTTATATTGTGTCATTATAAAAATATATTACGTGAAGATGATGTTTTGGTTAATAAAACAGGTGGATCTGTGCCAAATGTCCATTCTAAACATCATAATTTATCTATTGGTATTAGTTTTATGATTTTTAACATTAAAAGTAAAGTTCTATAATTTTTTCTGTAGTTAGATATTTGATAGGTTTATTGTAACATTGTAAACAATTATAGGCCTATTTGCGAAATATTTGTCTCTTCTTTTTATTTAAAGTAGTTTAATCTTGCCATGAAAACAGCTTTAAATTTTCATATGGCTCTAAAAAAAATAATAATATAAGATTAAAAATTTTATTTTGGTCAACTCCTTTTTTTTTCCATTTTGGAAGATTGTCTAGCTGTGTTTATGTAGAGAATAGTTTTATTGTCTTGAATCACTTTTTTATCAGTTTGTTTTGTCATAATATAGCTTGTAAAAAAAAGCTTTACACAGTGTTGCTCATTCAGTTTGCTGTTCTTTCTGTTTGCCAAGGCTCATATCAAGACAGCCAAGAGTCGTGTGGTGATGGCATCACTGTATCTGGGCACAGGACCACTAGAGCAAGACCTCGTATGTAACCTGTCTGCACACGTTTACTATCACTGACCAGTAAATAAAACATAGCCCATAGCTGTTTTTGTGCTGATTAAGATTTTTACATAAGAGGAAGCTGCTCAGGAAAGTTGAACATAACTCATCTTCTATTTTTTTCCACTGTAAGATTAAGACGATCAGGTACTTTATAAACAGTAGCTCATGTCACAACCAAAGTCAGATCTGCAAGCATATTCTGAAAAATGACCTCAGCAGAATTGAATTTTATCAACAGAATTTGATCTGGTGGTGTTGCTAAATCTCAATCTAAAGTGCATTTCCTTGTTCAAATCAACATGCAAAACCAGCTTGATAAGCCATAAGGTTCCTGCAGCAGAAATAGAATCAACATTTAAAAAAAAAAATGGTGCAGAAACTTAGTTAACCCTAGTATAGGGTATTCAGTGACTTTCTAATTTCTTTTGAAGGTGGATTGCATGGAAGAGGCATTAGAGCGCTCACAGGAAGATCATGCACCTGATCTCAAAGTGTCTTTTCTGCTGGATTATACCAGAGGCTCAAGAGGTCTGTTTTAGTCTTTTTTTTTTACTAATTTCAAACACACATGCTCAGACTTTATTTGGACAGCCAGCAGTTGGCATGTACAACCCAAATCCTTGGAGTTGTTGTAGTCTGAACTGCAAAAACATACGATTGTGATCTAATACTTAATCACAATATCTTAATCACAATGATAAGTGGTTTTCACTAATTCATTCATTTATGGTCACATTGAAAAGAATGGCATAAAAGTGATTTGTATAAAATACAGTGATGTATCTCATGAATTATGAAGTCATTACTACATGTATCAGATATTGACTACACTGAACATGTGGATCTGATTTCAGTAATTAAATGACAGTATCGACAATCAGTCCCAAAAATCAGATTTCAAAACCAGATTAGATTGTGTGCTGTGTGAACAAGGCCTCGCATTATCACTTATTCTTAAACCTCCCTCTGTATTATTCTTTTAATTCCTTTTGAACTGCATTTTGCACATTCTGAACAGTCATAGCTTGATCTTATCGATCACTTTCCTGTGAAACCATTAGAAGGAAATAATGCCTGCAGGAAATCCCCTGCTAATGTTCGTTTCCCTTTGTGAACACTGACTAACATATGTACGCCATGTCTATTGATATAACTGCATGGGTGTAATTTTGGAGGATTTCCAGTTTTAGTAATTGTAGGTTGGAGTTCAAACCTCCTCCCTGTTTTTTTTTTCCCCTTTTCTTTTTCTTTGCAAACTACTTGACAGGAACTGTTAGTCATTCCATTGACTGCTTTCAATGTGCTGTACAACTCACCCAATGATGTTGTAAGAATTCATAATCTAATATTTCATGGTAACTGAAGCATCATGTTGCAGCATAGAGCTTCATTTTAGTGGTTCAGGTTCTGCTTAATCTCCTGAAAACGACTCTCATTATGAGAAGATTATGAGAAGTCGTTCACAAAGAGAGAGATGGGTTTTTTTAATGTGTTGGCGACTTGTAGCGTGAACAACTGTAACTGTTGGCAATGTGCACAATATCATCTTCTATGCAAATGAGCAGTGACGTGACGTGACACCTACCAATATGAGTGCAACAAGGGGTCAAGGTTTGGTTAGTTAGCAGTGTCCCATTCCTAAACCATCTTTCTCCTTTGACAGCCATTACAATAGCTGTGTACGATTTTTTAATGTTTTTAAAAGAAGTCTTTCATGCTTACCAAGGCTGGAGTAAAATACAATAAAACAGTAAAATATTACAATTTAAAAAAAAAATTTCATTGTAATATATTTTAAAATGTAATTTATTCCTTTGACGGCAAAGCTAAATGTTCATCAGCCATTACTCCAGTCTTCAGTCATCCTTCAGAAATAATTCTAATATGCTGATTTGCTGCTCAGTAAACATTTCTTATTATTGTCAGTGTTGAAAACAGTTGTGCTGCTTAATATTTTTGATGAGTCCATGATGTTTTTTTAGGATTCTTTGAAATGCTTAGAAAGTTAAAAATAATTTATCATTTGTAATATTTTAAATGCCATTCCGTCACTTTTCATCATTTTAATGCATCCTTACTGATTATTAGTATTAATTTCTTTCCGAAATAAATAAATAAATAAAAATAATGACTCCACATGGCTTGAACAAGTTTTGAGTGTCAAAATAGTAAAAGGGTGAAAAGGTGTTTGTTTGTTTTTTTTACCATCTGCTGTCCTTGGTATCAAAGCTATATAGCTTGCTCTAGTTGCTAGTGAAGGAATTGGAACGGATGTTTAACTTTTATGTGTTCCTAAAGAGCAATTTGTTTTACAGCTTTACTTCAATAAAGAAAATACAAAAGTAAACCTTGCTATAATATAATATAATACAGCATTGTCATGACGGCAACCTCCATCAATTTTGTGTGAATTCCCCTTTAACGCTTAATTAAGTGTATGCACTGATTCATTGCTTCTAATTTCCCCCTTTGTTGTTTTTGAATTTAAAGGCAAGCACAATTCCCGCACAATGTTACTGCCACTGCTCCAGCGTTTTCCTGAGCAGATGAGAGTGTCCCTGTACCACACACCTGACCTGCGTGGGCTACTGCGTCTTCTGGTTCCCGAACGCTTCAATGAAACCATCGGGGTGCAGCACATCAAGGCATACCTTTTTGACAACAGTCTCATCATTAGTGGGTGTGTACGCATGCATATGTCACAGCAAAAGTAGATACGACACATGTTTGCAAACATATGTTATGACTGTGTAACTAAAATATGCTTGCAATGTGAATTCCATCAATTCTCTCAAAATATTCCCATAGCTATTGCTCTTCATAGTTCTAGGTTTGTTTTTAGACCATATGGAGCTCATGCAAACAGCCTCTGCTCAGTGGAGGAGGTGAATATTTGTTGGCCCACTCTTGAGTGTGATATGATGATATCTCATACAGGGCCAATCTGAGTGACTCCTACTTCACCAATCGTCAGGATCGCTATGTACTTCTGGAAGACTGCGCGGAGGTGGCTGATTTCTTTGCTGAACTCGTGGGAGCCGTGGGCGACGTGTCACTGCAGCTGCAGCCTGACAACAGTGTGCACATGATGGAGGGAATGGTGCATCCCTACAAAGGTAAGTGGTTTTTAAAGGTCCCCTGAAATGCTTAGAAACACTCTGTTACTCTGTGTTGACGTCATTTTAACTGAAACAGGAAGACAGGGTGGGACATATCAAGCAGCCCCACCCCTTTTTAAAATAACCAATAGCATTCGTTTGTATCACAGCTTGGGCTAGAGCGGTTAAGAAACGTTGAGCTCTGTAAAGCCGCATTTGACAGGGTATGCCAGCCACAATCTCATCCATACTGCTATAAAATATAGCATTCTGTATAGAATTCAAATAGAGCCGATACATTTTGTGTTCTGCGCCGACTCGCGCATGTGATCCGCTCCGTGCTATTTCAGCCGCGGCTTCAGCGTCTATTTTATAGTGTAGGGAGCGGGCGCTTCGGATTCTAGAGAGCATTTGATTGGACAGAAAGTTTGATGAGAAGCTGAAGTACGATGTGATGTCAAAAAAATCGTTTAACCGTTTTGGCCAATGTTGCCAGATTGGAAATGTCCAAGTATCGTACCAGAAGCTCAAAATTATCGTATTTGGAAGAAAATTATCGTACACGAGTCAAACGTACAGAAAACAGCTATTTATCTAAAACAAACAACTTTTTGACACGACCTGCAAATTACCACAATAGATAACTAGGCGTACCGTGTTTAAATTGGACGCGAGCAGTGTGACAAAATACTATAGAATTATTATAATCAGTGACTGTTTGCACTGGATGCGACACGACACATCCCCGACAGTAAACTGATGCCTCGTTCTATTTATGACGTATTAAAATGATTTTTAACACTCGCTTTGTCGCGTCCAGTGTAGACAGACTTTAGCTGTTAACTCCACATCTGAGCCGCTGTCATCAGAAGCCTGCGTGTTGCCAGATGTTGAGGGGGTTCTTGCCATCATGGACCGCAACAGTGCTTGTTGGCTTTAAAGTAGGGCACCCTCATGCATTCTTTACACACTCTGAGGTGTGCATGAGCTCATTTAGAGTGTCTGTAATGAGCCGATTTCGTGTATGAATATAGAAGCCCTATGACTACAACTACCATCACTTGACTTATTATTATCATACATTATGGGATTTTTTTCATTATTGATCGTACATCGTACAGAGGTCAAAATGATCGTACAAATACTATAATTATCGTACGTCTGGCAACACTGGTTTTGGCAGAAGTGACGAACTGCAAGCTTTGAATGCTTATATCTTCTAAATGCAAATTTTGTCACTGTTTTGGAGCACACTGCCTTATAGATAACCTTAAGACTAACATATTGATACTAACACCCAAAAAACTTTAATTTTGATTTCATGGGGACTTTAAAGGGAGGGATCTGTTTAAACAGATGCCACTTCCTTAAATGTAAAATGTCATATAAGACAATGAGAGGGGATTTTAATAAGAATTCCTTACAGCGTTTATTTGCATATGCTTTCTAAAGCTTCTGAAATAAGGAATTGTGTAAGTTAGAAACCACATTATGTGAGGTAAAAGCCCAAACACATTCACAAAATGCTAAACGCAACTTCCCTAGCTTGGAGGCTGATTGTGAGTTATAGATTGTGGAGGATGCAGCTAACTGCTATAATCTGGCCTACTTTAGTGAAACTTTATAGCATTGTTCCACCACTACAATCCAAGAACCTGATTTGGCTTTAAAATCCTAAAAGGGGGGACTCAAATACAATGTACAAAAATGTATCTCTTAAAAAAATATATATATATATAATTTTAAGTCAGACCATTTTTAAGCAAATCTTTACTCATCTTGTCACTATGAATATCCTATATTTATTTTTTTTTTAAATGGTAAATGCAAAAATGGCCCTGGCCCTATCTTAACTGAAGATATGCAAAAAAAATTAAAAAGATAATAATAAATAAATCAATTTTTTAAAAGTTTTCAAATTGAAGATATAACAGTTTTTGTAATTAATGAAGGAACATTCATAGTATAAAATTCTGTTTCCTGTCCATCTAATTTTCTTAAGAATGCTGCTTGTTTGCATATGCATGTGCTGAAAATAAAGTCAGCTTAATTTAATCATGCAAGGCAGCACAGTGCTGCACTGTCACGTGTATTGGTTGGTTAAAATGGACTGTGTGGAATGAATACAGAGCATTTTTATTTATTATTTATTCAGAGCATCCTTGTTTAGGTGCAGCTAGACTGTCTTAAGTGCAAGTGATCAAACAACTTCATCAGCATTTTTTTGGCAATGAAAGTATTCCTGATAAGAGAAATGAGTGACACTTGTGGTTTCCACCCAATCTGACATACTTGAATCAGAGGTAATGATGGTAAGTCACTCATTTCCTCGTAACACCAGCATTGTGGTAACATTGAGTAACAGGAAGCTCGGAGCCTGCTTGCTAGCCTCACGTCTCTTTGATGCTGAGCTTCAGCCATGACTCAGTGTGTCTTACGGTGAATTATGAGAATGAGTGATTATGCTCATTCAGCTTTGCTTCATATCCATAACCCAGCGCCGTTCGATGACATAATCGTGGTGGAGCGGGGCCACAGTTTTCACAGATCCCAGAAATAGTGCAATGATGTCACCTTGCTGGTGGTAAGTGATCTGTGCTGGGAGGGTAGGAAAGGAGAGATGCAGGAGGATGATAGGTTCGGGAAGGAGCTATTTGGACCTCGATACAGTCTGTCAAGACAATGAGGTCAACAGGAAATGATGGACTGATAGCCAACAGCGAGAATAGTGATGTATGACGGTAAAAGGAGGACAATATCAGACTAAAAAGCACATGCATTCGAGTCAGGGTGACATTTCTTTATGCAGCTCGTCTGCGAATGTACATGTTCGAAGAAAAAGCCTCATCTTCCAGTAAGAGTTACTAGAGCGCTGGTCCATTGAGAAGCTTATGCGCTGAGCCTGCAGTTCGGTCCTGCCCCTGTATCTCCAGTAATTGGATCCCACAGTCTGTCGGTAAGAGCCGCTGAACTTTGTGGCCCTGTTAACTGGATGTGTTTGGACCTCTGAGGCCTGGAGGCTTGGGGTGGCTGGCTTTGCGTCTGTGGGGAAAGCCCCTGTATCCTGCTTCAAAGGGCCATTTATTTGTTCTCCGCCGTCCACACATATTTGCGGAGGCTTTCGCTTTTTCTTGTTCTCTGCATTTAACAAACAGAATATTCCGAGTGGCCCTTGCTGCAGATTTTCCGTGTTAACCAAATAATCTCAGACACCATGGAGCAGCAGGCTTCTGCCATACATTACCAACATGCAGCGTTCTGCCCTGAAGCTAATTCATTATTTACAGATTATCTCTCTTGCTATGACTCACTGTGGCACATTATGTCTAGCAGAGGCGCCAGGGTTTGACAGAGCACTTTTCTAGACGGTCAGCAGTTATTGACCCGTGCCTCTGAGGTTTTGATCATGCATTTGCCGGATCTCGCATTAGCAAATACCTGATAGAATGGATTGGATTGGAGGGGAATGGATTGCGTGTTGTTTCGCTTGCATACCTGTTCAAATAAGTGTAAACAACAACCTGTTAAGATCAGTTTCTTAGAATCGTTCTGTTTATCAGGTATTTTAACTTGATTGACACACAACACCTTTTCAAAACCTAATGAGTTATGTTGCTATGCTAACTGAAATAGAACCTCTTAAAGGAATAGTTCCCCCAAAAATGAAAATTGTCATAATTTACTCACCCTCATGTCGATGCATAAAAGCAGAAGTTACAGTAAATACATTTGTGACCCTCGACCACAAAACCAGTCATTAGGGTTGACCTTTTCTTTGATATGACAATATTTGGCCGAGATACAACTATTTGAAAATCTGGAATCTGAGAGTGCAAAAAAAAAATCTAAATATTGAGAAAATCGCCTTTAAAGTAGTCCAAATGAAGATCTTAGCAATGCATATTAATAATAAAAAATTAAGTTTTGGTATATTTACGGTAGGAAATTTACAAAATATCTTCATCAAACATCATCTTTACTTAATATCCCAATGATTTTTGGCATAAAAAAATCAATAATTTTGACCCATGGCATGTATTGTTGGCTATTGCTACAAATAGACCTGTTCTACTTATGACTGGTTTTGTGGTCCATGGTCACATTTATAATGTCACAAAAATGTACATTTTAAATAATGTTTTGAATGTTCTGGTCATCAAACAAAAAATCCTGAAAAAATGTATCACAGTTTCCACAGAAATATTAAACATATTAAAATAATTTCTGAAGGATCATGTGACAATAAGGTCTGGTAAGTAAACTGGTAAGTAATTACTGTTGGTAATTCAGCATCGCCATCATTGATATAAATTACATCCTAACATATATTGTAATAGAAATTTTTATTTTAACTTGTACTAATGTTTCACAATATTACTGTTTTTACTGTATTTTTGATCAAATAAATGCAGCCTTGGTGAGCATAAAAAAACATTAAAAACGTGCCTACCCCATACTACGATAAGCTAAAATATGTACTGTAGTACACAGAAATGTCAGATAAAACAGTCCAATTTAACTTGATCAATCTATCTTATCTGTATTTGTTATTAGTGAAGGAAATATAGTTATAATCATCATTTAGCTTTTAATGCTATTTTGTATGGTTTTTGTCACTGATCTCATTATAGGATCATTATAGTGCATTATAGGATCATCTTCTCCATAAAAGACATGAGTGATTGCCCAAAACCTAGTTTTGGGAACAGCTGTGCTTGAAATGTTGCCTATCTTTCAGGTGTTGAGTGTTCTCAGATGTGGTCTGTCTGTGGTCTAACAGGTAACAGAGCAGACTTTACTGCATCGGCACAGAGACGGATCATGGAGGTGGTGAACACGGCACGTGTCCGGCAGAGCATGCTGGAAGCAGAATGCTCGGAGGTCCCAGACTCGGACGGAACGGTGCCAAATGACACCTGGATCTTTCCACTTGTGCAAATGAAGCCTCTTGGCATTCATCTGGATGAACAAGTAACCAAAAGACTGCTCACAGAGGCAGGTGGAGACTCAGTCGTCTATCTGACATCGGGTTACTTCAACCTGACGCGCACCTACATGCAGTTGGTGCTGGGTGCAGCAGCAGACTACCGTATCCTCATGGCCTCCCCAGCGGTTAATGGTTTTTTTGGAGCCAAAGGAGTAGCAGGAGCAATTCCTGAGGCCTACGTTCACCTTGCCCGACAGTTCTACAATAAGGTGTGCATTTTTTCTACTGTTTAGCACAGGGCTGAGCAGTATGATGTGTATACCTGTGTTGACAGAGATGAACACTTAAGTGTAGACGACTCTGTTATTTATAAAAGGAGCAATTTAGTTTTGTCAAGTCATGCCACCCACCTCTAGTATAGATATTATGCAACTATAGTTTTTTTTTTACGGTTGTAATTGTCAACGAATATTTTCCGTCATAGTTTTCTTTAACGAAATTAACACTATTTTGTAGTTTATAATTGTTGCTTGTTCTATGGATGGTGCTGCAGCTACAAATGCACTCAATTGGCAGAATATCAGATTTTTTTTTTTTTATGTTTGTTCTTGTTGGTTTTTCTTAAACTGAAACACTCGTGTTCGTTTCAGGTGTGTCAGCTGGGTCAGCAGAGTCGTGTCCTCTTGCATGAATACCATCGCCCAGATTGGACATTTCATGCTAAAGGTACGTGTTTATCTTCTGAACTGTTTTTTTTAAGCACTAAAGTGGATCAGCCCAGTTCCCAAAAATTGGGTGTAACAGGAAAGCTCATAATTTAATGCGCAGAGCAGGTTTCCCAGCACCTCTGATTGAATAGCCTCAGAGCTCTTCCTGGACAGCTTCAGGACACAGAGGCTGCCAGACACATGTGATATTTTCTCTGTAAACCAGAGGTATGCTTTGGCCACGTTTTCTGGCTGTTGTTGAATGTTAAGATATTTCAGCTTTACTGTTTCAGTATGTTATTTAAGACAAATCAAATGCAGCACTGAGCCAAAAGCAACGCGATCACCACTGTGTTATTTCTCAACCTGCTGTCTGTGTTTGTAACTGTGAGTGATTTTTAGTTTGCTTTAAAAATGCATGAATTAATACATTTGATTTGGTTGTTCATATGGCTTTAACTGAGTATCCTTATACACTTTAATAAAAGCCCCTGACCTGAAGGGACAGAATAAAATAGTGATGTCTGGAGAAAAATAGAGGCTTGACAAACCTGAACGTCAGTTGAATTCAATTTCAGGCTCCTGTTGAGAAGTCTGGCTTATTAGATAAAGCCTTGTCATGTCGTCATTTCTTGTAAACAGTGGAGCTGAAGTGGGAACAGACAGAGGTCCCCGCAGCTGAGCTACAGAGAGAATCAATGAACATTAGCTGCCGTTCTGACGCTGGCCTTCAACCTACACAAGGCCCACGTGGCACCTCAGGAAAGAGACAGTGAGGTGGACTCAATTAAGACTTTTGCGCTACGTGTCATGCCGTATCTATACCTTTCTGTCACCAAAAAGCGTGTTTTTCCATTGGCAGCTGTTCAAATTTGGCAGCAAGTAGGTTGTTTACTTCAAGTGGAGTCACATGCCAAAACCGTTGAGATAAATGTTCGTTCACAGCTCAAAGAACTTTTATTATTTTTTTGATTATTTATTATTTTGTTAGGAACTTCATGTGTAAAAAAAGAAAAAAGGTTATCAGTGTATAATACACAATCCTACATATCAACACATATATAACACATCTATCAAGTAAATTAAGTAAAAAAATATCCAATTGAGTGTTCTTAAAGTGCTTGTGCAAAGGAAATGCTAATGAACAACATTGGGGGAAAAAAGTGGTTCCACAAAATGTCTAATGCCAGGAGGCAGAAGAACATCCATTCCAAGTCTGTTTTTGCAAAACTAGTTTGGACTAATTGCACTTCCTTTTAAAAGAATGCTTTTGAAAAAGTCTCTTATGCTCAAGCATTATGCATTTTATTTGATTGAATTAAAAACAGAAATTTTACGAAAAATTATTACAATTTAAAAAGAACTGTTTTGTACTTTTAATATGTTTTAAAATATACTTTTTTAAATATTTATTTTTCCAGTCTTCAGTGTCACATGATCCTTCAGGAATCATTCTACAATAATGATTCATATCACTGTTGAAAGCAGTTGTTCTGCTTAATATTTTTTGGAAACCATGATAAATTAATTTTTTTCAGGATTTTTTTAATGAATTGAAAGTTGAAAAGAATACCTTTTTTATATATATAATTTTTTTGGTAAGAAGTATTGACTAATTTAATGCATCATTTTCTAAATAAAAATATACATTTATTGAAGTAACAAATTCACCTTAAATTTTGAACACTAGTTTATGATCAACAAAGTGGTCAATGAAAAAACAGTCCATGGATTGTGTTTGCTTATTGGTTTGGAGTTGAATTTAATCTAATTAAGCATAAAGGCTAATTGCTGGATTTGTGTGCATAAGGAAGTCCTCAGGAATTAATTTTAGAGTATTCCCGTCAGTTGTGTTACCTGATAGCTTTCATCAAGAACACTTCCTCAGGCCAGGGTGGTTATGTTTGGCAAGTGTTTGAAGTGGCAAGTAATTCTTGCTGCCTATTAATAGAACATATGTTTGGTTTGTGTACATAATTTGACTGACACTTTTTTCCTCTAGTGTGTAGCCATGCATTGTTGACTGTGAAAAGGAAATATGTTTTCTGTTGTATAGACACCACACCTTTTAAACTCATGTGACCAGGAAACATGCTTTGAAGCATCTGCCACATCTGCATATTTGTCAATGTGAAGGCACCAAGATTATTTTTTAGAGTGGTTTGAGTCATAATAAACAATTGTCCAGTAATGAAGCACT